CCACCCCCCCCCCCCGCCCCCCCCACCCACCCACCCACAAAATTACACTTACAATATTAATTTTATTATATATTTTAGGTGGAGAAAAAATAGAATTTTTCAATTTATGTCAATCCGAGTAAAAAAAATGGATCTCATCACAAGTTTCTTCCTTTAAATTTACGATTTTCATTTTTTTTTTTGAAACAAAATTGAAATAGTTATTATTTTCTTCAATTTATATGTTTAAAAAAATTCAAAAATATTAATTACGATACGATCTGTTCGATTTCTATAATTGATTATTGATGAGTTCCCTTTTCCACTCTAGGAAAGTATTGAAATCTAAAATGATTGGGCCATGCTATCCAGCCCATAAACCTTCTAAAATTATCAGCTGATAGAGAGGCCCACATTGAAAGCAAACTTGAGCCGTCAACAAAGTCGGTGACACCAATTATTCTCCTACTGCAACGGCCACTATCTGAACTTAACCCTAATCCTGCGAAGCAGGCGATCCGCGCTCCCCGAAAATAACATTTTATTCCCATTCGAAATTCAAAATTCAATGGCACAACGGTAAATTAACAGAGAACCGAGCCCATTTACGAATCACAGCGGTGGTTGGAACCGCTATAATGATCATCGGCTCAGTCTTCTATTATTTCAATTTTCTCTCTCACTAGAATTATTAATCCCCAAAAGAAAAATAAAAAGGGAAAAATAAATTAAAAAAAAATCTCTCTCCAGCGAAAAAGAAAATCTCCGAATTCTGAAGGTTTCGTCCGTATCCCAAAATATTCTTCCATACTCCATTATCATCTGACAGAGAGGAAACAGGCGATTATTACGTATTATCGAGTTTTTATTTTTTAGTTTCAGTTGTTCTTCATCTCGTTGTTCATTTTTGGTTTCCGATCAACGGAATTTGGGCGACGATGTCTTTGAGGCCGAGTGCGAGGACGGAGGTCCGCCGGAGCCGGTACAAAGTGGCGGTTGATGCGGAGGAGGGGAGGCGTCGCAGGGAGGATAATATGGTTGAGATCCGGAAGAATAAAAGGGAGGAGAATTTGCTGAAGAAGCGCCGTGAGGGGCTTCAATCCCAGCAATTTCAGCCTGCTGTTAACGTTACACAGGTTGATAAGAAGGTAACAACTATTAGAAGATTGTTCTCTTCTGTTGTTTTTGAGCTATTATTTCCGGATTTTTTTGGGTTAATTTTCATCAGATTGTTCTTTTGTTCGCTTTTATGTGTTTTGTTCAATTAAGCCATAGGGTTTTGGATCTGATCGGATTTCATTGAATGCTTTATTGTTTGATTGTTAATTTACTGTGCGATCAGCACTCAATTATCAATTTGTGATATTATTGGGATTAAATATTAAGTCTGATTTATGATTGTGACGAAATCCTCATCTTGCTATCACGAACGAATTGTATCTCTCTCCTGCTAGAAACTTAGCCTGAAAGAAGAATCTACAGCCTTACTCTTGTTGCATGCAAATTGTATTTAGCTTTGTTTCTAATGTTGTTGCATATTTTTTATTTATCAGTTAGAAAGTCTCCCAGCGATGATTGCTGGGGTTTGGTCGCCTGACGCTGCCCTACAACTTGAGGCCACAACTCAGTTCCGTAAACTTCTTTCAATAGGTAGGTGAATAATTAATATTTGGTTTTCCGATTTACCTGAATGGATCTCGTTACCGTTACTC